TGCCCCAGGGAGCGCCTGGTGGATTCGAACTGCCGACCTTTGGGTTAGCAGCCATAGCATTCCCTAGACTATGCTAAATTAGACATTGACAACATTCCAAAGACGGAGAAAAGGTGAGTTTTCAGTCTAAGTCCATTGGTTTGTTGCTACCTAGATCCCCCATTCCTGCCACTATCAAGAGCTACCACTAGCCTACCCAAGAGTCTTTGATCTATCCCCTGCGTGAAATTAAAAATATACTACAAAACCATGCTCCCACCAGCTCTCCTGTGCCAGACTTTCTAGAACGGATGAGTATAGAACATCGTGTTTAGCACCTCTGAAAAGAGTGCTTATCCCTGTGTTACACTATAACTGTCTAAACTTTCATCCATCTCCCGACTATATAAACTTCCCCATCCAACTTCCTACACCTCCTTATGTGGGAGGCATTGGTGGTTCAGTGGTAGAATTCTCACTTTTCAAGTTGGAGACCCGAGTTCAATTCCTGGTCAATGCACCTCATACGCAGCCATCACCTGTCTGTCAGTGGAGACTTGCCTGTCACTATGATGCTGAACAGGTTTCAACGGAGCTTCCAGACTGAGGTGGATTAGGAAGAAAGGCTAGGTGACGTACTTCTGAAAATCAGCCAATGAAAACCCTATGGATCTCAGCAGATCACTGTTTGATCTGCAGCAGGCCATAGAGCTAGTGCAGGCCTGGGCAGTGCTTCGTTCTGTTGTCCATCCGGTTACCATGAAGTCAGGGGCCCCACTAGATGGCAGCTACCAAAACCAACACCTCCTTATATGTTTGTGTATGTAAATTTGTTCATTTCCATGAGCTAGAGATAATAATAATAAAAAAGGAAATACCCCTTGACCCTTTGAAGAAGTAATAGTTATCAATCATGTTTTAATATGAATTAACTTTCCAAAATACATTAAAATGTGTCACTTCTTAAAAGCCTTGGTAGATTTTCCTTCGTAGTTTCTTAGATCTCTTCACAATTGAGTTCAGTCGAACTCAATCTACCTTTGTAGGCTAAATTCTCACTTGCGCCTTCCTTTGTGAGCTCATGTTTACCAAAGTATCTCCCGCATCTAGCACAGTGTCTGATGCATAGTTCTATAAGAATCTGTTCATGAATAGATGAATGACCTCCAACCATGCCTAGAGCTACACCAGACGCATGAGTGCCTCTGCAGGCTAATAACTGGCACTCCTGCAAACAAATGCATTTTAAAGATATTATTAGTTTGCCATTTTGGGGGTCATGGTATGAGGAATGGAAAGGCTGATGTATACCAGCTAGAACTTTTTCTTATTTCACTTGGAAGTGTTGTTTTCCTACTTCAGCAGGAGTTGGGCCATATACATTTTGCCTTTGTGTAGGGTCTAAGTAAGTACCATTATCCCAAAATTTTCCAAAGATGCTACAGAGCATCTTAGAATTTGGTAATCATGCCGGTTTCTTCTGCCTAGAATGACTTAACTCTTGTCTATCTAGCTGGTCATTCCAGGATAGCATTTCATCGTGGAGACTTTCCTGAACAATTCCACACCTGCTTCTCTTCCCCTAGTAGAAAAGTCCTCTCTCTGCCCTTTAATGGCAGATTGCTCAGATCTCTGTTTTAACACTCACCATATGTATCAAAATTTACGTGAATGCCTTCCAAGTTAGAACGAAAGTTTCTGTGAAGTCAGATAACTGGATTATTCATATTTGTGACCCTTGACCTTAGGATTTGTACTTGTTTAATGGAAGGAAAGAAGGAAGGAGGGAGGGAGGGAGGGACGGAGGGAGAGAGGAAGGAAGGAAGGAAGCAGGGAAGGAAGGAAAAACGAACGAACGAACCAAGGAATGAAGGAATGAAGGAAGGAGTAGTGATTAAGCTAAGTGCTCAGCTGCTAACTGAAATGTTGGCAGTCGGAATGCATCAGCTGCTTCCCAGTAGAAATATGTGGCAGTCTGCTTCCGTAAAGATTACAGCCTTGGAAACCTTATGAGACAGTTCTATGCTGCCTTATAGGGTTGCTGCGATGATGGCAATGGCAACGAGACACAGGACCTACCTTGGTAACAGGCCTCAGAAATGGAGGGGGCATGATGCAGTCATGCATATTCAGTGATTGAATCAATCATAACTATGCATTGAGGCCCCAGTCATGCATATTTATTGAGGCTCCAATGACTAAGGGACCGTGGATCTTGGAGCTTTCTCTTTGGGGCTTCCAGGATTAGTGAGAATATACGTGGAGGGGAGATGGTGCGGCACCTCCCTGGGGACAGCGGAAACCTTGCACCAGGACCTCTCCCAGACCTTGCCTTATGTGTCTCTACACTTGTATCCATTCTGATTATAATAAACAGGTAACTGTAAGGATAGGTAATAGTTAGTGCCTGTGAGTTCTGTGAGCCATTCTAGCGAATTATCAAACCCACAGGGGCAGTGAGAAACAGCAGAGAGGCTGGCATTTGCCTATTTGGCAAGAGCTGGAAGGACAGAGTCCTAACTTGTGGACCCCCAACTCTGGGTGCTTAGGTCAGAGAAAGTGCCACATGGGTGGCTGGCGTTCAGAATGATGAAGTGGGAAAGTGGGGATATGCGTTATCTTCATATTTTGGAAATTAGCCTTATGTTGGCTATTATTCAAGCATCCCTGTTATAAGAGGAAGATATTGCATCTGGGGAGTCAAGACTAACACTCCTGGCACATCCTAGAGTGGATGAAAAAAATAAAAAACCAAAAAAATTCCTGATCTCATAGTGACCCTATAGGACAGAGTAGAACTGCCCCTAGGGTTTCCAAGGCTATAAATGTTTATGGGAACAGACTGCCACCTCTTTCTCCTGTGAAGAGGCTGGTGGGTTTGAACCATCCACCTTTTGGTTAGCAGCCGAGAGCTTAATCACTGTGCTCCTCTTAAATATAATCCCCCAAAAAAACCAAGCTTGTTGCTGTCAGGTCGATTCTGACTCATGACAGCCCTATGTGTTACAAAGCAGAACTGCTCCATAGGGTTTTCAAGGATGCATGAGTCAGAATCAACTCAATGGCAATGGGTTTGATTTTTGGGTTTCTTTTTTGAACAATGTTTACAAAAGCAGATCACCAGGACTTTCTTCCACAGCTCCACTTGGTGGGTTCAAACTACCAACTTTTAGATTAGTAGTTGAGTGAAAACCATTTACACCACCTAGGGACCTTAGAGTGGATATAGGTGAGTTCTTTTAAGAATATTTTCAAAATATCTTGTCTAGCATGTTGAAAAACAGCAGTGATTTGTTTTGTGAGACTCAGTTTAACGGGAAATCATTGCTTATTAACACTTTCATCTCAGTATTTGTAGTTGCAGTGGTCGGCTGCTAACCTAAAGGGCAGCAGTTCAAATCCACCAGCTGCTCCTTGGAAACTATGGAGCAGTTCTACCCTGTCCTACAGGGTCGCTGTGAATCAGGATCCACTCAACGGCAACAGGTTTAGTTTCTCTGGTTTTGTTAAGGAGACGTAAGATAGAAAAGAAGTGCCAAAATGATTTTCTTAAGTAGTATTAAAATACAGGTACACTGGAAAATGTTTTGTTTTATCCAAACTTAACACTGCGGTGAACCATTTCCATTTGAGAGTTCTGAGAGCAGTCTTCCCAGTACCGAGATATAACATGAGAAGTTTGGCTTGGGGAGACGGGGACGAAATTAGCCTCTCTCGTATCAAGCCGTCTACATTTTCTATGACTGCTCAAGGTGTAGTAGAGAAATTATCTGGAACTGATTAACCTCAAGAGAGGAGGAGAAAAGCACGCATTCGGGAATTGTTCTTCCAGAAAACACGATCGCCCCCTAGCATGCATTTACGAGCAGAGTTTGGTGACGCAACTGTGGCCACTCCGCCACCAGGGAGTAAGAGGGAAGGGGCAGATTCTTCCCAGTAGGAGGACTATCTGGACCAAAGAAAGAGGCTGGCGACGGGAAGGAAGCACGGATCAAGCGTTTGAATAGCGGCCACAGGGCAACTAAAGTCCGTGCAGTGTTAAGAGGCGCGCGTCACTCACCACTCTCCCCTTCCCGCCCCCCCCATACACCCCGCCGCCGTGTGTCACCTTCCTGTTCGGAAGTCTTAGTAGGTTGCTGGGACAGAACAGGGGGCGCCTGCTCCACCCATCAGGTATCCGGTTGGACGAAAAGCCAGTCTCAACAACTTGATTCTTTCTGTTAAATGATAAGTTTAGCAGACCATCCGTTTCCAAATTCTGAGCATTAGGGTAGGGGGAGGAGGAGCCCATCAGACGTTCCTTTCAGTTCCGACCACAAATCAAATGGTTGTGCCTTTTCTCTATTCCACTTAGAGCCCTCTAACTTAAATTCCCCATTCTTACCGGAATTCATTCGGCAGAGCTTCTTTGAGAAAATGAAGCCTGTCCATGTGTTTTGAATTTTTTTCTGGACTGATTTGTGTTACAATTTCTTGTGTGTCTTGCTGGGGGTGTAATAAACCAAGGACGCTGATGACTGTAATTTTCTGGATGATGTTGCAATGAAGGGAATAAATGGCCCAGTGTTGAACTTTGCAGCTTGATCCTTTCCTGCGTGTAATCGCATTTATATATAAAGTGTGGTTCTTAACAGCAGGGACAGCCGCCTTCAGCTCGGGCCCCCTGGTGATGGAGCTCCCAGCCTCATCAAAGGCACAGAGCAGGCAAGCTACCTCCGCCAGAACTGAACTCTACCTCAAACCTCCAGAAAAGTAATCCCCAACTCTCATACTTTGGGTGACTTGAAGAATGAAAGAGGAGGCTATAAAATCCCCTTTGAGAGGTCTGTCTGCTTTTATTACTGTAATTTGGATGGCGTGGTAAAGCAAAGATGCTTCAGAGGATTTGGGGGTCGCTTGACTTGGGGAAGCACGACCTCACAGAAGCTGGGGTGTAGGGGAGGGTCTCTGATGGAAGTTTCCTTAGTTAAATATTTTTAAAACAAACAAAACTTTGTGTGCTGGTTGGTGTTTTGGGGCAATCTGAGCAAAATTTGCTCTCTTAAGAGGGAAGGAACCGAGCAAGGGAGCAGGGCTGGGCTAGCTGAATGGTGGAACTTGGGATATGGGGGGCATTGGAAATAACAGCCTTATTACATGAAAAATCCATGCAAGAGGAAAGCAGAAGTGGGCTGGTGACCGTATACTGGAATTTCCTAAACCTTGCTTTGGGTTGGTGCGTCAGTTTCAAGCAAGAAGTTCTTTTAAGCGTGGGTACGGAACAAAATTTCCCAGCCAGTCTCCAGGATAGCAGACCTGTGTTCCCCTTTCACAGCTGGGGACTGTTATAACTGAGCAAACCAAGAAACAGTTGAGGCTGGAGATCATATTAGGGCAAATGAGGTAGTAGTTCCTGCAAAACAAACCTCTGCCGAGGACCAAAGGAAAACCGCTTCACATGCTATTCCTGATTTGACGGTTGGTATTTCGTAATGTCAGACCCAGTCGGCAATTCTAACATGGTAGGGCCCTTGGCAGCTAGGGGTCACGGCAGGGCACCACCGCAGACAGCTTCAGCGAGCGCCAGGTACTGGGGTCCAGCGAATGTTAGTAACTTGTAGCTGTCTCCCTCGCTGCTGGGCCGGGAGCGGAGCTTTGCGGCTACCCCGCCCGCGCGGGCGCGAGTTCCCCAGCCGGCGGTCAGACAGCTGCTCCCAGCACGAGGGTTACTGGAAGGCACCGCCGTCGCCGCTCTGTAGAGCCGGATGGCTGCCGCCAGCTTCCCTCCCACTTCTGTCTTCGGGAGCGGAGTTACCCGTCCAATCTTTCATGAGTCGACTAGTCCGTTTATATGGGACTTTAGAGAAAGAGCGAGTGAATGAGTTAATGGTAAAATTCTTAGAAGATTCCTGGGTCAGCCCTGAAATAAGCCGAAGGAAGGACAGTGGAGATAAGGGCAGACTAAGGAATTTCAGGACAATATAATGTGACCTACGGAGTTTTCAGGTGGGGGAGCGGGAGAGGTGGAGGCCCGCAGAGAGGAATTTAGCCTGGCTGCCGCGATGGCTCGTGTCGCAAGCCCTGCAAGGTCCTCACCTCCCCGGGGTCAAGTCAGGTCCCATGTGCGAAGCCACCACTCCCGAACTTGCCACTTCCTCACGTGTTCTTGGTATGGCGGGGATTAGAAATGCAAGGAAAAATATTACATGCGGAACGGACAGAATGTTCTCAGAGATTACTTGAGGGGAAAAAAAAGTGAAATGCAGATTGTACTTTTTTTCCCTTTAGTGCAGACGCGAATTTTCTTTCCGCACCCTCCTCTCCACATTCCTGCCCTCTCCCTCCCCCCTTCCCTCTTTCTTTCCTTCCTTCCTCCTCTTCCAAGTTCTGGGATTTTTCAGCCTTGCTTTTGGCCAAAAGCACAAAAAGGCGTTTTCGGAAGCGACTCGGCCGTGCACAAGGGCCATTTGTTTGTTTTGGGACTTGGGGCAGGAAATCTCGCTCTGCCTGAGTCACGGCGTCTCCTTCAAGGAAACATCAGGGTTCGCCACTCTCCCTGTCGCCCGCCGCGCGTCCAGAAGCCGGTGCCCATGGGGGAGATGCAGGGCGCGCTGGCCCGGGCCCGGCTCGAATCCCTGCTACGGCCCCGCCACAAAAAGAGGGCCGAAGCGCAGAAAAGGAGCGAGTCCTTCTTGCTGAGCGGACTGGGTAAGCTCCGCGGTCGGCTTGCCTGGGATGCCCGCTCTCCCTCCCCACGAGGTGCTCCAATCGGCTGGGGCGCTCGGGTCGGGCTAGAGAGCATGACTTTTCTTTTCGCTGTTGTTGTTGTCTCGGGTGGAGAGGAGTGAGGCCGGGAGACGGGGGACATGCGCGGGGAGGACCGCCGGGCGCCCCGGCCCCTTCCTGACCCGGGTAAGGCACGCGGGCCGCCCTCCCCGGGCGCTGCTGCCTGCGCCCGCGCGATAACCGCAGGCAGAAGGCAGGCGGCTGCAAGGGGATTTCGCTATGACTCCAGGGAGCGGGTCCGTGCCGGACTAGGGGGCTCCTGCTGCAAGAGTGAACTGAGCGTTAATGTGAACTGAGGGCTGGAAGAACCGAACCGGGACAAAGCTACCCCCGGCGCGCGCACCGGGCAGAAAGCGCCTCAGCGCCGCTACTCATTTCCTTGCACCGTCGACTTAACGAGAAAAGTGGAAAATTACTCCCGACTCGCCATCCCTCCCGGCCCTTCCGCCGACAGTTTCCCTCGCTCCTATCCGGGAGCTGATGGAGGCGGACAACAGCCCAGCGTCGGGCCCTGGCTGCCGGCTCCGCACCCCCACATCCCGGCCCGGGGTCGCCCCGGCGCGGGGCAGCACCGCCCCCGCGGACGGGGCTGGAGGCGGGGCCTGCCGGCGCCGCTTCCTCGTTGTCGCACTGGCCCCGCCCCCCGGCGTCGCTGCGTTTATAAGCCGGCGACGGGGCCAGAGCTCAGTGTTGGCTGAGTAGGTCTCCCGTCTCAAACAATTGTCTTGCTGTACGGTTCTCAGCGGCTATGACCGTGAAAACCGAGGCTGCTAGGGGCACCCTCACTTACTCCAGAATGAGAGGAATGGTAGCAATTCTCATCGGTGAGTGTAGGACTAAGACTTGACTTGTAGGATATACAAAGTGGAATTTTTTGAAGATCCCGGATCAGATTAGTGTGTGTGGCGTTGGATGTTATGAAACCATCTAAACTAAACGTTTATTTCTTCTCTTTAATTCACAGCTTTCATGAAACAGAGGAGGATGGGTCTGAACGACTTTATTCAGAAGATTGCCAACAACTCCTATGCATGCAAACAGTAAGTTTGGGGGATTTGAGGAAATAAAAAAATAGTGTAGTTTGAATTTGCTAAAAGACTCATTCGCGTTAGTGTTTGACCAGCAAACCGGAGTAGGGAGAATCTTTTTCTCTTCTTAAGTTCTAATTTATTTTAAACATTAAAGGAAATTAATTTACTGATTTGGCTTGCTCTGGACTTTTCAGGGAGCACTGGTGGCGCAGTGGTTAAGAGCTCGGCTGCTAACCAAAAGGTTGGCAGTTCGAATCCACCAGCCACTTCTTGGTAAACCCTGTGGGGCAGTTTTGCTCTTTCCTGTAGGGTCGTTATGAGTCGGAATGACTCGATGGCAACGGATTTGGTTCTGGTTGAACCTTTAAGATAAATTTTTCACGTTTACCTAATTCACACCCTCTCTCCGTGAAGAACAACCCTAGTTTCTGTATTTTAGAGGGCTTATTATTTTACTTAACTTTAAAAAAAAAAAAAAAAAACCTGAGTAATTTAGTTGAATGTTTTTATGCACTGTCTATTCTCTGGTAAAATTTGAGCCAGAAACTCGTTATTGATGTGATGTTAATGTGCCCCCTGGTGGCGAATTTTGAGAACTTAATTGTTCCTTTATTCTTCGCAGCCCTGAAGTTCAGTCTATTTTGAAAATCTCCCAACCTCAAGAGCCTGAGTTTATGAATGCCAACCCTTCTCCTCCAGTAAGTATAAATAGAAATTTTGTTTGCTTACAACAATTTGATTGTATACAATTCCCCTACTCTCATATGAAATATTGATTTGTATGAATGAAAAATACCTTTGAATATATCCATGATATATAAATAGATATACATATAGATACCTGGTGACTTGCCTCAGTCATTTGCAGGTTAAATAACTTTTACATTATGTATATTTATTATAGATACATCTTTATTGGAAGCAACGTTATTAAAAGAAAATGTTTTCTTTTCTAGCCAAGTCCTTCTCAGCAAATCAACCTTGGCCCATCATCCAATCCTCATGCAAAGCCATCTGACTTTCACTTCTTGAAAGTAATTGGGAAAGGCAGTTTTGGAAAGGTAATTTCAAATACAAAGACTTCGTTAGTATAGTCTTTCATGCATATTACATTTTACTTTTTTTCTGGAGGTGGATAGCAAAATGATTTTTCGATATTGAAATTCCAGGTTCTTCTCGCAAGACACAAGGCAGAAGAAGCATTCTATGCAGTCAAAGTTTTACAGAAGAAAGCGATCCTGAAAAAGAAGGAGGTATGAGATGTGCTTGATGGGTTGGGTTGGAGGCAGACACTCATTAAAATTAAAAATCCCTTGGAGTTTTGGTGCCGATTTGAAATTGCCACTAAATCTTGATTGTCTTTTGTCTAGGAGAAGCATATTATGTCAGAGCGGAATGTTCTACTAAAGAATGTAAAACACCCATTCCTGGTGGGCCTTCACTTCTCTTTCCAGACTGCTGACAAATTGTACTTTGTCCTAGACTACATCAACGGTGGAGAGGTGAGCAGAGGGAATAGAAGCTAACCCTTGGGTGTCTGTGCACAGTCTACTGGGTTTTAAATTGAGAAAAAAGTTTTTCAAAGATACTAGGGGGAAAAGTTAACCAGCATTAGCCTTTCCTCTAACCTGCCAGGCATCCAATAGTTAATGGACTATTGTGGGCCACTTCCAGCAATTGTTCTCTTTAGCTATATATGGCAAGACTAATTAAATGCATTGTTACAGGCTTCGGCAACCTAGACTAACTTTGTTTTGTCTTTTTGTAGTTGTTCTACCATCTCCAGAGGGAGCGATGCTTCCTGGAACCACGGGCTCGTTTCTATGCTGCTGAGATAGCCAGTGCCTTGGGTTACCTGCACTCTCTGAACATCGTTTATAGGTGAGCATACCTAAAAGCTCTTAAGGGTACCTTCCTGGGTGTAAGGGGGACACAGCCTTAGCCTTTGATGGAGCCTTCAAATAATTTGTTTATGTGCAGCTAGGTCACCTAAAACCAGACTTCCCCAGCACGTGAGGTGTCTTGACTGTTGGCCACTAGGGAACCAGCCAACTAGGATTGTGCCTAATCCAAACTAGATTAGCTGAACAAGGACTCCCTTTTTTTATTCACTGTACAACTGCAGGAAATTTAAAATGCTTCTAATACCCCGAGCAATTATGTTTACAAAGGATTTCTTATGAAGAAAAGTTAATGTATGCAAAAACTTGTCTATTTTTTTTTTTACAGAGACTTAAAACCAGAGAATATTTTGCTAGATTCACAGGGACACATTGTCCTAACTGACTTTGGGCTCTGCAAGGAGAACATTGAACACAATGGCACGACATCCACCTTCTGTGGCACACCTGAGGTAGGAGCCCTCTTAATTTGGTTCAGGTGCATCCCCTACAATAATACAGACTGTCCTCAGATTTTTTAGTACAATTCAGCGCAAGTAAACTACATTTGCTGTTGGATGCAGCATGAGAAATTTCAAGGCCTTATGTTGCGCTAATTAAAACTACCTGTTTTCTAAATCCCCAAATAAGGTTTGTCGGATGCCCCGTAGCTTCGTAAATATTGGTACGTACAGGCAGCCAGTCAGCCTCAAAAGGTCCAGCAGTGTTATCATCAGGAAATAATTTAGAATATATCCTCCAAGTTGACCCCCTAGCAAGGGTATCTCAGCGCCTTCAAAGTACATGCCTGGTCTTGGGATTCCCAGGATTCAGGGTTCTAATCTCCATTTCCCTGGTCTCTTTCAGTATCTGGCACCAGAAGTACTTCATAAGCAGCCTTATGACAGGACTGTGGACTGGTGGTGCCTGGGGGCCGTTTTATATGAGATGCTGTATGGCCTGGTGAGTAGCGCCTTAGGAATCAAGGACCCTTGCCCCTGATTTGTTGACCCTCCGTAGAACATTGTCTTCATACAATCTAGAGTTATCAGGCACATAGACTGCATTGCAGCCAGTTCTTTATGCCATGTCCTTATCAGTAAGCTTATCAAAAGAGAGGCATATTGGTTATTTTATAAGTGTTTTAGAGTAAACTCTTTGCTAGTGGAGTTGTCTTTTGCCAATTCACTTTTTATGAGATATGACTACACTTAAGCTGGGTGATAGTGAAAAACATGGCTTATTAGTTTATACCCCCTGATAATCGTTGCAAAATAGACACTTAAAAATTTAGGGCCAAGAAAAAATATCAAGGGGCAAGCTGTTTTGCTCAAATCTTGCTTAATAATTACAGCTTAAATCTTTTACCCTATTGATTATGTATGCTATACAAAACTTTCCATCAAATTTTAAGGAATTTTTTCCCTTTCAGCCTCCTTTTTATAGCCGGAATACTGCTGAGATGTATGATAACATTCTGAACAAGCCCCTCCAGTTGAAGCCAAATATTACAAATTCAGCAAGACACCTCCTGGAAGGCCTCCTGCAGAAGGACAGGACAAAGAGACTTGGAGCCAAGGATGACTTTGTGAGTTGGATTATTTTTCCTGTTCTTGTGGGCTGTCTGGGGAAGTACACTAGACCTCATTGCCCTGATTGAATTTTACCTGTCTAAATTAATCTCATGTTTCTGCTCAACAGATAGAGATTAAGAATCATATCTTCTTCTCCCTAATTAACTGGGATGATCTCATTAATAAGAAGATTACTCCCCCTTTTAACCCAAATGTGGTAAGTAGCTATCTCTTCTAAGTATAGTGAGACCCAAAGGACATTCCTTTTTTAAGTCAGAGCCGGTGAGGGAGGGGACCCCTGTGGAGTAAATTGGTACATATGTTGTTCTTAGATCCATTTTTTTCCCTAGGGGGAAAAAAAGTTTGTCCCAACAAAAAGCAAATACTTTCTGACACATTTTTTAAGTAAAGTCCCTCCCCCGCAAAAAAAAAAATCAACATTATTCTTATTAAAATTTGTATGACCTTTGGGGTTTTATAGACGTCCCTGGGTAGCGCAAACTGTCTGCACTCCAATACTAACCTAAAGGTTGGCAGTTCAAACCCATCCATTGGCACCATGGAAGAATGGCCTGGTGATATGCTTCTGTAAAGATTGCAGCCAAGAAAACCCTGTGGAGCAGTTTTGCTCTGTAACACATGGGGTCACCACGAGTCAATCAAGTTGATGGCAATGGGTTTGGGTTTTGGGGGTTTTGTGGTTGAAAGTTGATTATGGGAGTTTCTATATAGTGTCCTAAAAATTTGAACTCCCTTATTTAAAACCACCATGAGTCAGAATTGACTTGGCAGAATTTTCCTGTTCTGTATCCAGTGTGAAGTTTGACAGTGTTTTCTTCTCCCCTCCTGTAACACAGAGTGGGCCCAGCGATCTGCGGCACTTTGATCCTGAGTTTACTGAAGAGCCCGTCCCCAGCTCCATCGGCAAGTCCCCAGACAGCATCCTCATCACAGCCAGCGTCAAGGAGGCTGCCGAAGCTTTCCTGGGCTTCTCATACGCACCTCCCATGGACTCTTTTCTCTGAACAGTCCCAGGTTGCTTCTGAAGGATTTCATGTGTGTTTTTAAATGTTTTAGTTAGCCTTTTGGCAGAGCTGCCAGCTGACAGGACATCTTAAAAGAGAATTTGCACATCTCTGGAAGCTTGGCAATCTTCATTACGCACTGTTTGCTGGAGGCTTTTCGAAGAGCACATCCTCTTTTCAGTGAGCTCATGAGGTTTTCACTTTTATTCTTCCTCCCAACGTGGTGCTATCTCTGAAATGAGCGTTAGAGCGCTGCCTTAGACAGATGCAGTGTTGGGTTAGAGGGAAGACATTGTTCTGAAGAAGGATCTTCTGAAGGTCTGTCTGGGCTGTGATACTGACAATGATGAAATGTGCCTTTTCTGATGAGATCATGTTAGCTCCAAAGCTTTTCCTATTGCAAAGTGTTCAGACCTTTATTTTTCCTCGTGGATTTGCTGCGTGAGCAGTGGTATGAGTGTGGTATGCTTGATCACAGATGGGTTGAGTTATAAGCATCAATGTGACACTTGCAGGATACTACAACGTGGGACATTGTTTGTTTCTTCCATATTTGGAAGATAAACTTATGTGTAGACTGTTTTTTTTTTTGTAAGATATACTTAATAACTAAAATTTATTGAAATGGTCTTGCAATGACTTGTACCCAGATGCTTAAAGAAAGCATTGCTGCTACAAATATTTCTATTTTTAGAAAGGGTTTTTATGGACCAAATGCCCCAGTTGTCGGTCAAAGCCGTTGGTGTTTTCATTGTTTAAAATGTCACCTGTAAAATGGGCATTATTTATGGGTTTTTTTTGCTTGTTTTGTTTTGCATTCCTGATAATTGTATGTATTGTATAAAGAAAGTCTGTACATTGGATTATAACACTAGTATATTTAAACTTACAAGCTTATTTGTAATGTAAACCACCATTTTAATGTACTGTAATTAACATGGTTATAATATGTACAATCCTTACCCCCCCTCCCCACCACACAACTTTTATTGTGTGTGATGAACCAATTTTGGTTTGCAATAAAACCTTGAAAAATATTTACAAAAGTGGTGTGTTATTTTGCATGTTTCGGTTAAGGGAGCGATGGTGGGTCAGTTTGAAATTTTAAACTGTCAAAATGCTGCTGTAATTGACTGCTAAGTTTGCTTCCAATAGCAGTGGATTCTGATTCCAGAGGAATAGAGCATAGGCCTAAAAGCCAGCCCATATTCCAGATCTTAGCAGCGTTTTATGGTGTTGGTCATTCATAAATCCACCCAAAGAAATCCTTTTCAATTTACCTGTCTTACAAGGACAGCCATGAAGTCATGTACCCTATATTTATTGCCTGCCTTGTGAAGTTGGACTGTTTGTCCTGACATGTGGCTTGTCTTAAGTAACAGGGAATTCTTTCAACAAATGTTTGAGTGCCTACTCTGGCCAGGCCCTATCAAAGTGCTGAGAATATAGCAGTGAACAGAGCAGACAAATCTCTGCCTTTAGTATGCCTTCTAGAAGGGTGGAAAAAGCAGACACTTTTTAAATAAAAGCAGTTTGTTGAAATCAAGGTAATACTCTGCAAGTTTAGGGGAATGCCACTGAAAAGAACGAGGATGTTTATAATCAACAGTATGCTCCCAAAAAGCTGAGCTGACAGGACTTAGGGTTTCAAATAGCACCCACAGCTGACCTGAGTCCAGCGCTGGCTCAAGAAACGATCCCAAAGGAGCACACCCCAAGACTGGACCAGAAGCCTCTCGAGCCAGTAGGTACACAGCATTGCATGCGTCCAGCTGTCTCTGGGTCTGGTATGCAGGGCCCACTCTCAGAGCTCAGGCACTGGAATATTTACTGGCAAAGGGGAACGTTTCAACAGGTCATCTTGCACCAAAGTTGTTTGGACTTTCTCACTTTTCTAGGTCTTTCTCCCACCACCCATATCTGTCAGTTTGTCATACTGTGATGGCTTGCATGTTGATGTGATGCTGGAAGCTCGGCCACCAGTATTTCAAATACCAGCAGGGTCACCCATGGTAGACAGGTTTCAGCAGAGCCTCCAGACTGACAGACTAGGAAGAAAGGCCTGGCAATCTATTCCCAAAAATTAGCCAATGAAAACCTTGGGGATCACAACAGAATATTGCCCAATATAGTGCTGGAAGATAAGACCCCTAGATTGGAAGGCACTCAAAATACACAGCGACCACAACGATGCATACCAGCTATCACGAAGATGGCGCAGGACCTGGCAATGTTTTGTTGTACACAGGGTCATCATGAGCCACAGCCAACTCCACACAACTAACAACAGGCCTTTCACACACATTTCTAGCCAATAATAAGATCTCTTCAGAGTCACCAGACAGTTGATCCCGCTGCTGCCTTAACCCCGCTGGGGCACTCTGTATAAGCTGCTGTACTCTTTTTCCTTTGATCTCTCAGTGTTCACAGGATTTCCCCAGGGAAAACTATGACCTTTCTTCCTCATCAGAACTCTTATCTCTCACCTCACCTCAGCCCCCAAGGCTAGGAAGTGCGGAGCCTGTGTTTGGAGATCACCTGGTCCTTCTCTCTCACAGTTGCAATGAAGAAATGGGCTCAAAGTGAATAAATGACTTCATGCTCAAACCCAAACCCACTGCCATCAGGTCGATTCAGACTCATAGTGATCTGATAGGACAGATTAGAGCTGCCGCATAGAGTTTCCAAAGCTGTAATCTTTAAGGAAGCAGACTGCCACATCTTTCTCCTGCGGAGCTGCTGGTGGGTTCGAACCACAGACCTTTAGGTTAGCAGCCGAGTGCTTAACCACTGTGCCATCAGGGCTCCTTTCTTGCTCAAGGTGGGCCACAAGTCAAGCTCTGCAGTTGAGTTGCTGCTACTGTTCAGATATGTTGTCAGGTGCTGTCCAGTCAACTTCGATTCCTAGAGATCCCCATGTGACAGAGTAGAGCTACCCAATAAGGTTTTTTAGGCTATAATCGTTACAGGAGCAGATCACCAGGCCTTTCTCCCACAGAGTCACTGGGTGGGTTCGAACAGTCAAACTTTCGGTTAGCAACCAAGAACTTAACCATTGTGCCACCAGGACATATTAAATCCCCTACCAAACCCAAATGCCAGAACAAACTACAGTGACAAATAGAATCCAAAGGCATGCATTTTTCTTGTAAGGACTGATGTTAGCTCAGACAAGGAACCTGCATATTTGCCCCTCATTTTCATTATCAGTAACAGTTATGAATTCCTTCTTGAACAAAAGTGCTCAGATTTTTTTTAAATCTGAATACAGTTCTTGCTGGCTAGGAATCTGCAATCTAATTATAGATAACTCAGAGGGGCCAGTGGTGGATTACAGCTTTTGATTTTTTTAAGGGCAGAGATATGGTCTATTGGGTTATAATCAATCACTACATAAGAAGTGGCATGTATTTCTCAAGAGTTGTAAAGTGCCGGAGGAGTCCCCGGCATTGTCACACGACTGGGAGGAGATTAGATCAATCACAAGTTGGGTGGGAAGGGAACAAGAACAGGGAAGTCAAGAAAGAACAACAGATCAATAAACAAATAGCAAATATTTACTAAACACTGTGATGTCAGACAGTTTTATCTACATTTGAGCTAGATAGTTGGAAAAAGAGACAACTTTCTTCTCCATAGCTCTCCAGCTGTGAGAGAGCACAATCCATAGGTTTGAAGGAAATTATTCTGCAAAGATTCCCTCAAGTTAAAATGTGACTTTAAAACCACTGCTATTGTGAAGAGTTAACTCAGTTACGGAATTTGACGTCTAGCTGGGGAGTCATGGCACCTATGCACAGTGTATGAGAGGGGGTGAATGAAGGGCAAAGAGAAGAACTCCAGGAGCCCAAAGGCCCTCTGTGAGGTCAGGTGCCTAGAACAGACTTCACAGAAGCTCTGGAAGCCCTAAGATGCTTGCTAACAAATTTTATTTCTAGGGAGTCAAACTGCATGACGGTCCTGAGGATTGGGTTACAATAACAGTAATGGCTGAAACTTACTGAGCTCTTACTAAGCACCAGACATTGTCGTAAGGACGTTACACTCATTAATTTATTTAATCTTCATAACAATTCTGTAATGTGGAAAGTGAAGAAAAAGGCACAGAAAAGTAATTTGCTGGTTAGTAAGTGATGAGGTCAGTGGGGGTGCCATTCTGTCCTCCAAAGCCTATGATTTTTTTAACTATTACTTTATCCTGACTGTCGTTGTGGTTGTTGTTGTTAGGTTTCAACCCATAGAGACCCCATGTGACAGAGTAGAACTTGCCCATACTATAAAAAGTTATTAAAAAGCAGTGGGAAATAAGTTTGAATAGGGAGAAGGATAATGTCATTGATGTTCTCGAAATTTCCATGGAGAAGTTTAGGTTTCATGAAGCGTCAAGGAGAAGCATTTGGACGTTTTACATGAGGAACGTGAACTAACCAAAAGGAGTGTTCTGCTGGCACTCTCTAAGAGGTGTGAAAGTTGAGAGATCTTTGGAAATAATAATAAAAAAAATCTACCAAGGATATCCTGCCAGTGTCCCAGCAATGGTGGAAAGAAAAGCATAGAAAAGAAGTATTTTGAAGGTCCCCATATCAGTGGGCTTTAGTAAGTTATTGCGAATGGAGGAAGAAGGATGAATTCAAAGCAAAGCAGATTTAATTTTTTTTAATGTAGTTGACTTAAATTATTGAAGTGATTGTCACAGCTGCAATAATACCATCCAGGACAAAGGCCACCCACCAATTTCTGCAACATTCTCAGGATATAATCAAGCAGCCAATCAATAATGAATCAACTTAATTGGTCAGGCAAGATGTTACACCCTCTAGTCAATCTCTACTCCATCTTGCTAAGCAATTTCTCTCCTCATACATCAAAAAGCCGCTGAAATCCCATCCCACATGCAGTGAGCCTTGTATTAGGGGCATAATGATGTTAAAACTTTACCTGATGTTAATCAGAAAAATACTTCCATTAAGAAAAACACACTGATCCAAATTAATTAAGCCCAATTTCAGAAATCATTTAAATGGTTTTCTCATGTGGCATGAAAATTGTTAACCAATTACCGAAACAAAAAATTACCTTATTGTTGCTTAGAATTCACTGTGGCTAACATGTGATCTTTCCTAGTCTAATTTGGCTGCTGTATCCTTACTATATGAGAACACATTTAATTTATAGATGTCTTCTCTGCTTTCCACATCTTTTCTGTGAATGACTTTAGAAGTAAAACTAGGAGCGATCCTGGATGTTTACTTAGTGTTTAGCTATAACACTGTGTTCAGACAGATCTCTTTGTTTATTTGGATACCTTGGCAACTGTGGACTCCGATGGGCAGGGCTCTTGGTGTCCTCTTTTCTATGTCCTCTGTCCTGTGCTCCACCTAATGTACCGTGGGAGTCTTGATGATGAAGCTGTAATGACCATATACAAGGAACAGACTGTTCACAAGAAAATATGTATGCAGACAATCACTCTTGCGTGCAGAAGACCCAGGGTCATAACCAGAAAGGAAGCTTTTCTCATGTCACTTTACATACATATATATCGAATCCACCAGTAGCTGCTAATTTGTCCATGACACCAGATGATTTTAACACAATTCTGCTCAATCTTATTTCACTGACACTTTTGACAGTCATAGACTCTTTACATAGCACTCTAGAAGCCAAAGTCTTTGCCCTCCCTAAGCTGAACTAAATCATTTGATTCCAAGCGTGTAGCAGCATTGCAAGCAATGAAACCAAAAAACCAAAACCCGTTGCCATCGAGTCGATTCTGACTCATAGCGACCCTATGGGACAGAGTAGAACTACCCCATAAAGCTTTCAAGGAGCACCTAGTGGATTCAAACTGCCGAACTTTTGGTTAACAGCCGTAGCACTTAACCACTATGCCACTAGGGTTTCCATTGCCAGCAAAGCCACAAAACTATTAATTTTAATTAAAGTTAAGCTGGAAATGATTCGGAGTCCAAACTGAAAACAAAGATTATATTTTTCCCTGAAAGATCATAAAAACAGACATACAGAAGTGATGCTTGAATTA